TATCCAGGAAGTGCTAAAACAAGCAGAAGAAAGTAGATGGTAGGAACAATAGTTACATCCCTGTACATACAGGATACACCAGAGTTGCCAAGCTTAAGAAAACAGGTAGGTGCCCCCTCCTGCTCATTACAGGGAGTTGTGAAGCAAACTGCAGCATTTTAAATCCTGCTTATCCACAAGCTGGATACATTGAGATTTCTTTCTCTCTTTTAAAAGCCTGCCTCAGAAGAACATGCAAGCGTATCCAGCAGAGAAAGCAGGTCAGCACTGACCTCTGTGCAGAAGCAGAGCCGGTCAATAAACAGAAAGAAGCCAATTAGGACATAATTGTGCACTCCTAGTTAAGAAGCTACGAGGCAGAAGAGGAAGGAGAGAAGAACATGACTGTTCAAGTATGACCACTCTTGCCAGCACAGGCTGGGGCAAATCTGCTGCTGTGAATGAGATGCACTTCAGCAAACTGAGGAAGTGATAATCAGACCCTGGCAATTAAAAAAGTAAACGTGGGTTTGTGCCAGCTTCAAGCCTCTTGTTTTCCTTGTTAATAAGAGCAAGAAATCTCCTTGCTCTGAAAACATCTGTAATTCTGTAAACTCCTGAAAGTTGGTGAAAGACGGGATTTCTGATGATCTCCTGAATTAATGGGGAGGCTTTGGGGCAGTCCAACAGGGAAATCAGTACTTAAACTGTAACACACAGGTCAGGATTCACAAAGAACTGTTCATTCTTCCAAGACATGCGATGCCTGCTTCAGGATAAACTGAGGAGTCCTGTCCTTGGTCCCACTTCCTCTGAGCACAATGGAATCACACAGATCCAAAACCTGATAGAACAAGATTGGAAGCAAGCCCTGCTAATAAAGGGTCGAATGAAATCCAATGAAAAGTTGACCTTCACTTTGTTGCATCTAAATTTTTGCAAAAGGAAATAATCTTAATGCCTTTCAAAGGACAACACAACATGGGATCCAACCCACTTGTGCCTTTTTACACTGCCCCCAAACCCTGAATATACCCATATATTCAAGTATCTAATACCAGCGAGAATCAAGAGCAGCAGAAGCCAAATCTGGATGGAAATGTCTCTTCTGGAAGTCACTGATGCTGACTTCTTGCAATATTAGCAAAGCACCCAGCAAAGCAGAAGAAGCTTTTCATTAAATGCAGCAGGAAAGAGTTTCAATGAAATTTATTTCCAGGGTTAAAAGCGCCCCAAACAAGCAAAGGGCTGCTCAGCATAAGAAGCAATGCTCTTGTTACGGAGCAGAAAGGCTCCTCACGTTCCCTCTCCCCAAAGAAATAAAGCTCTGTAAACGCTGAGCACTTTAATAACCTGCACCCTCCTGGTGCTCTGACTGGCTTGGCCTCGCTGTCAGTAGGGAGCTGGAACAGAGGAAGGGTGCAAAACCAACCTGGAACTGAGCAGCCCATTCATAGCACCCACTGCTACTGGGACTGAGAATAACCACTGGTAAATATTTAGCTCATGGCTTCCACAGTGGACAAGCAAGAGCCACCCTGCAGCTCACACACTCTTCAAAACACAGGAGAGCGGCTTGGAACGGGATGAGCTTGAAGGTCCCTTCCAACACAAACCATTCCATGAGTTTATGATTCTAAGACATGGGAGAACAAGGGGGTCTGGCTGCATGTTTCCGGAGGCATTTACTGAGACAGGTACAAGTCAGAAGGATGTGATTTCTTTAGCAATGTGCTTATCACACTGAGGACCTGCTTTTGGCAAAGAAGAGCACTGCAAAGATTCCCTGAAGATGTAAACCTGGACACTTCATGATTTGAAAACAGGGCCTGTACTTCCTTTGTTCTGCTCTACCCTCATAATGCAGCTGGTTCTATGTAACTGGTGGTAAAAAAGAAACTGGCAAACCTGTGAGTGTTTCACGGAGAACAAGGGATTAGCATTTCCAGACTGCTTCTCTTCCCTAGAAACATCAGTTTCCTACCATCATTGCTTGGCAGAAAACACAAACCTTCATATACTGAAGCAAGTAATGATGGCTCAACAATACATGGGAGCCTGAGAGTAGGAAGGGAACAGATAAGGACCCTCAGATCAATCTTGCAAGCATCAGAAATGGCTTCTGTAGGCAAAGAAGCAACAGATACTACGTTTTAATGGGTTTTCCCTTGCACTAATCCATACTGTTGCCTGGAAAACTCCCACTGTTTTCCCTTGGGTTTAATAAATGACTCGCATACCAGCTAGAAGCCTTCAGAAGCACTTCACTGAAGAGCAAGGACTGGACTCATGGACAGAGTTTTAACACTTACAGAAAAAAGAGGCCTCATTCTTTCTAGCCATCATGTTCTAAGGAAGTCACTGCCCTGCACAGTTCAGCCTAGTTGCACAACCTGCTTAGCCTTGGCCTCAGAGCAAACCAGGAGCAGGACATGGGCTGGTTTATGATGGCTATGTTTCGAATTCAAGGAAATTAATGTTTCCCCCTGAAAAATTCTCACCCTACATCTGTATTTGAATTCACAAATGGTTCCTGACAGAAACAACATGTTGATTAAGTCATCAAACAGAGCGCTCTCTGGCACCGGTAGGAGCGAGGCAGCAGCTGTTTCTAAGAGCAATTGTACATCAAGTGAAAATCTGGCAAGCTCCCAGTTACCATGCAGTTACCTGACCAGGTGATCCTTTTCAGCAGCAAGAAATGTGGAGTCAGCAGGACTTTTTCTACCCGAAGTAGCCAGAAGGAAAGGAACCTCTGCTGTTCTATTCATTATTTAATATACTTGATGCAACCCTTATGTTGACAGTCTGCAGCTACACTGAGAAACATAAGTGATCCAAAACCTCCAAGGACCTTAATCGTTACAGAACACGCAGGAGGAACTTGTTGACAACAGCAGCAGTAATTTCAATCTGCTAGCACTTTCAGAGACAAATAGCTCTGTATAAAACCCAGCTAGAGGAGGCTTCCCCTCCTCCTGGTCTCTGAACACTGGCACTGGGACATCCTACCCAGCGCTCACTGGGTGATGGCAGTGGGTAAGTACTGTAGATGATCCCATGGAGCGCACTGGTAGGAATGGGGGCCTTTTCTCTCCTGAAAGAAGTGTGAAGCAATCCTACAGCAACCATCACAGGCAGAAATGCTCCCCCAGAGGCAGCACATGTGTTTATTTACAGTGTTTTTCCTGCTAGACAGTAACCATGGATCTTGCATGGCAATAGTTACTCTCTCCGAAGTGATGAAGCTTCACCGCAAAATCTACAGCAATAATGTACCGTCACGGCTTTTCGTTTTTGTTTCTCCACCAGGAAGTTATTGTCTCACAAACTTCTAGGCAAATGCTAACAAATCATTCCCACCCCTGCCAGGAAAGGCAAACCAAATGTCTTCCTTGAGCAGAACCCGCACAGAAGCCTCTGCATCCTCTTTAATGCCGTTCCCGGAATAAACCTATTTTTGAAGTTTGTTCTTTTATGGACTTGTCCAAATACTGGGAATTCCTCAAACACCGACATAAGAGTTTGCCCTTTGAAACACTCACTGGTTACCTCTGCTGCCGACACCAGCACCCATCACTGGCTCTTGTCCTATCTTTTCTTGAGGAGTCTCTCTCAAAGCAAACTCTGGCCACTTGGATCTGCTGCTGCCGAAACCCCCATGGAATCAAGGGTTTGTTGACAAAACTAGCACCCACACAGAGCAAAACCCATTCCTTCTCCACCTGCATCAGAGGAGGTGCTGCAGCAGCCTGCAGCTTCACACACAGAGACGGGAGGGCAACGCAGCGATGTCCTCCTCACTTCCCAATGGTTTTAGCTGCATCAGTCTACAGGGAAATGCTCATCAAATTATCTGTGCTCAATGTCCAGCTCTGCAGTGTCAGTCCCAAATCACAGCATTTCTAATGCAGGGTCACGGAAGAGGATGCAACCCCAGCTCAGTCCTGCAGTTGCAGGGTAGAAGAAATGTTGGCAATAATGGAAAAGCATCATCAGTATTACTGTGATGAAATGTTTGTACTTACTGCACTGGCAATTCTTCCAAATGGGTTGGCTTAGAGACAAATCTCTTGCACTGATTACTAAATTATTTTCTTTACAAAGGTCTAACAGGCTCTGTTTTCCAGATGAATGGCCTGAAGCCACTTGTTTCAGAGTTTCAGTCCCCTGAGATTCACCTTGGGCAGTAAAGAAATGAGACAGACAAACACTAAAATGTTCTCTGTGTGAACCAGCAGTGGCTTGGCTGATGAGAACACTTTAGGTAAAGTACCTTCCAATTTAAAGTAAAGACAGAGATGAAGTGTGGCAAGGTACAAGACACAAGAAGTCAGAAGCAGCGTTTGCTAACAAAGCATTTTAAACCAAGTAAACCCTCCTAAAAAAACCTTGGCTTCACCGTATCTCACTTCATCTCCTCTGGGAGAGCTGCCTTGCCAGGCAAGCTCAGGGCAGTGGGCTGGCATTCCCACCTTCCCAATCCAGTCAGCCCAGCTACAGCCAGACTCCTGGGCTGTCCTCTCCCCACTGCCTGCCCCAGGGAGCAGCATCCTTCGTATCCAAACAGACAGTAATGCAGTTACTGACAGGCTGAGAGAGCTGGGCTGGGGCAGCCTGGAGAAGAGAAGGCTCCTGAAGGGGAGACCTTAGAGCAGCTCCAGTGTCTGAAGGGGGCTACAAGGATGCTGGAGAGGGGCTTTTCATCAGGGACTGCAGTGATAGGACAAGGGGTGAAGGGTTCAAACTGAAACAGGGGAGATTTAGGTTGGGTATGAGGCAGAAGCTTTTCCCTGTGAGGTGCTGGCACAGGGTGCCCAGAGAAGCTGTGGCTGCCCCATCCCTGGCAGTGCTCAAGGCCAGGTTGGACACAGGGGCTTGGAGCAACCTGCTCCAGTGGAAGGGGTCCCTGCCCGTGGCAGGCGTTGGAGCTGGAGGAGCTTTGAGGTCCCTCCCAACACAAACCATTTCATGCTGCTATGGTTCTATGACTTGCCCACCATTTATTTATCAACACTTACTTTTCCCTTGGAAGAGGGCACCTTTGCTCAGCAAGGGCAGCTCTTCGCAGCCTCCTGCACATCTGGTGTGTGGTGATGCAGCTGAAGAAGGGAGAGCCCACCAGGGACCAGGGCAAATACCCCACACTCACGCAGTACCAGCTAGACCGGGCAGCATGGCAGGAAACAGCAAAGTTCAGCCCCTCTGGAAGCTGCTCCACAGAGGATTTGAGGCCAGGGTATGGTGATGAGCTAGGACAGTTTGCTCTGCTGTGACTCAGAGTCTTGCTAGCATGCCTTCAGCGGGCTCCTTCCAAAGCACTCTGCTCTTGGGGATGGCACCGAGTTGAACTGCTCACCAGGGAGGAGGCTCAAATATGCCAGGGAGACCTTTGGGGGAAGAGAGAGAAAGGGAGGAATGAAGAACGATGCTCACCCTTGAAACTGGAATCTACCTGTAGCTTCTACACAGCACATTTCCAACAGCCTCAATGAATGAGTTCATCAGGTAAAACCCTATTAATTGAGCGGCTTGATCAGCTGTGGCTTACTCAGAATTTGTGCTGGTTTTAGTATTCTATCACCAAGCATCGTTCTGGGTAATTCCAACCTCACAACACCAAGCAAAAACTGCCCCTAATTAACAGCTTTCATCATACAGACACCAGCAAGAGCTCGCACTACTCTGCCTCACTCTAACCCTAACCCTAACCCTTTACATGGTCATTTAGCCTGGTTTACACCTGAATGTCTTCCCTGGGCTCAGCCAATGCAAGCCCTCCCTGGTTTGAGCTGCTCCCCTGGCACACAACAAACCAGCTCCAGCCAGGAAGTTCTAAGCTGTCACCAAAGTTTTCCAGCAGTCAGACCCCTAAGCATTAACTTTGGTAACTGAAGTATCTGATGAACCAGCAGAAGGGACAAAACAGCATATTTCTATGCAACAGGGAGAACTTTACCTTCTGCAGGCCCTGGTGGACTATCAAAGCCAGTATAACGTGTTGCATGATGCTGCAGCATCCCCAAGCTAGAAAAGTAAGTAATATGAGTCAACCACAAAGGGAAACAAATTCAAAAGGTCATTAAAAAGCCTCACAAAATTAAACAAATACATTAATTGCTTAAAACCTCTATGGAAGAGCAGAGTTGGATTTTACTGTAGTAGTTATGATATGGCTTCAGTAATCAACCCAAAACCTGGCAGGCTTCCACCCCTGCTTATGTTCCCTGGCTACGTTTACAGCATCATCAGACACCCATCTGAAACCTCAGAAAGAAATGAAAAACCAGCCCAAAACAGGAGCAGCACAGAAACAAGAGCATCGTGGAGGCACTGACATCTATCAGCATGGAAAAAAGGGGAGAGTAACTGAATGTACTGATCTCAGCTAAACCACAGACCTACTGTCCTACCAATGTACCAAGTACCAATGCATCAGGGCCCTTGGAAGAGGGGAGAAAGACAAGTGTCAGGCACAAGAAACTTGCCCAGTGTGTTCTTGTAGAAGAGGATGCTGTGGTGGAACAGCCATTGCATGTTCTTGGCTCTGCCTCATTGCCCATTTCTAAGTACCACAAAACCTCTGTCTTTAAAATGTCCTTTTTCCATCAAAGTGCCTCTGAACTAGTAACCCCTTCACCAGTCACCTACAGGTATGACAATGCTGGTCAATGAGAAATGGAACATGCCCTGGCAGTGTGTGCCCACAGCCCAGATCCCCTGTGTGCTGGGGTGCACCCCCAGAGCGTGAGTAGCAGGTCATGGCTGGGGGTTGGAGCTGGAAGAGCTTTAAGGTCCCTTCCAACCCAAACCAGGCTGGGTTCTGTGATTCTCTGACACAGTTTACACTGCAAACAGATCACAAACCCCAGTGAAGAGTTCTCTGTGCTACCAGCTTGAGGCCAAACGCACTCACCTTCAAGAGCATCCCGGCATGCGACAGCTACCCAGATTAGCCCATGAAAACAGACTGCAGCAGCTGCTTTGAGGCTAAGACAAGTGAACCCCCCAAGCCCTCAGCATCAGCACTGCACCATTCCTCCTCTTGTATCGTTTACAAAATGGCCTTTCAGGGATGCAGTTCCCAAAGCCTTGCTGGTGACACACAGCTAGGGGAAACAGAGAATTTACAGTGATTAGAGCAGATCGGATTTATGGACTAAACAAGACAGATGATGCAGCGAAGCAAGGAATGAAATGTAATGAGGCCAAGGAAAAATTAAACACAAGCCATATTCCAGCCTAAACAGCAGTCTAAAAACAGACAGGAAACAGAATCTAAAACAATTCACATAACATTTAGCAGCATTATAGGGGAAAGCCAGAAAAGATCTTGCAACTCTGACAGACTTCATACCACAGAGTGGAAACCAATGGGAGTCCGTAAGGCAAGTTGAGAGGGGCTGTTGACATGTATGAGAGGCTTGAACCCAACCCCGAGGGACTGCACAGGTATCAGGTTATTTGGGCAACGTTAACAGTCATGTTCAATCCTCCTAAAGCCTGCAGGATCCAAACACCTTCAGGGATGTGACAGAAACACAATAGTGAAGGGTTCTCCCAGAATGAAAAGGTGAAGCAGGGAATGAAACCGGCTTTGAGGAGAACAGGAGAGAGGAGCCAAGAGTTTGAACTTGTCCCTGGAAAAGCCTTGGGGTCTGGGAGTCACGGCTGAACCAGGCTGAAGACAATGCGGTGTTAAAGGATACACTGGTTAACCAAAACAAGATTTTAATGCACAGAAGTCCTTTACAGACAGGAGCATCCTTAAACTGTAAAAGCCCGCTGTACATACAGCACTACAACAGATCTCAGCAAACCCAGCAACTCATTAGCTCTGCTCCTGACTAGTTTCTTAATTGGGCCCAGCAGTAAAATCATCATTCAGCTGTGAGCAGTTCTGCTGCTCACCCTCTCATCTATTTTGAAAGCTTAAACAAATTCCATAAATATTTACATTAAATATAATCTGCATTTGCTTAGGGATTTTCATTAAGAATTAAGTTCCCATTCCCCTGAAATGTGTAAATCTTTAAAGCCGGAACAGTAGCAGGATGAAGCCAGGGCATTTCAGATTCTGTACCATTAGGAACACGTTTCTCAGTGTACTGCAGGCCCAGTTTGGTGCTGGAGTTGGGCTGGGGCACAAGAACTCAGAATCAGCTTTACAAAAACCCCCCAAAACTACAAAACAGTTTAAAAACTTCATTTCAAACTGCTGAGACTGAGACACAGACACAGACACAGACACAGGGCTTTACTCCAGGGTTTCTCCACGTCTATTCCTGTTTCAAGCCTGGTTTCTCTAAACCTTCCTTCCGCAGGCAAAACCCTGAGCCTATGACTGTAAGTCCACTGATTTCTCTGGATCTGGTGAAGAAGCCTCACACAGGTGTCTATGGCTGGAGAAAGAAAAGGCCCCTGTGTTGGCTTCACACCATTCTTTTGAAACAAGTCACAGCTCTGTTTCAGGCAAATACTTCTTTGCATGAGGCTCCAATACCTGAATCCTACTCAGGGACTCCCCAGGTAGACCGAAAGGGTAGCCAGGAGACCTGAGAGCATGGCCCCAGCACACCAAACCGGCTCCAAGGATGCCCATTGCAGAGCATCCTCCCCACGCTCTGTGTGAATGAAGGAGGAAGGAATCACAGGATCACAGACTGGTTTGGGTGGGAAGGGACCTTCAAAGCTTATCTAGTTCCAACCCACTGCAATGAGCAGGGACATCTCCAACTGGACCAGGTTGCTCAGAACCACATCCAGCCTGGCCTGCAGTGTCTCCAGGGATGGAACACCCACCACCTCTCTGGGCAACCCGGGCATTTCCAACCCCACCATAACACAGCCAGAGAAAAGGCATCCCATCACAAACACGTCTCAGAAGGAAAACATTACATGCAAGACACTGGACAGCAACAAATGAGCTGTCTGCAGCCCAGGACTGAGAACAAAACCATTACAGAGATTTAATTAGAAAACTAGCTATTAAAGTAGACTGCAGTTGTTTAATAGTAGTTTGTCAGTGAACTAATGTAATTAACTGTTGGACAGAAACGGGGGCAATACAGTGGTTACAGAAAAAGTAACCAGAGAAGAATGAACTGCAAAAGTTATAAATCACAGGCTCAATTGCAAGTCTTGCTCTCTTTTAGCCCACAAACCATTTAAAATGCTCTTCTATTTGTTCTAGTCACTGAAAGTATGAAATATGGAGACTGCAGCCCTGCCCTGGGCAGCCTGTTCCAATCCCTGAGCACCCTCTGGGGCAGGAGTTGTTCCTCAGCTCCATCTAAACCTGCCCTGGTGCAGCTTGAGGTCGGTTCCTCTTGTTCCGTTCCTTGGGAGCAGAGCCCAGCCCCTCCTGGCTCCATCCTCCTCTCAGGTGGATTTTACTAACTAAAAGCACAGGAAAATCATTATTTTACAGAAAACAGCTTTCAATTTTCCTTTGAATGGCTTCATGGCACATAAGAACACAGTAAACAGAGAGCTGCGCATCTCCAGGGGCCCAACTTAAAACCTTGAACTCGTATCCAACCGGACACTCGCTGATCTAGGATGAAAACACCCCAGCACAAAACCCCAGCTCAACACCCCACAACAACAATTCCCCCCCACACACACTGAGAAGAGGGCAGATTTACCCTCATTTTGATGAGAAAGGGCACAATTCTGACACCGAGCTGCCTGCTCTCCAGTGGACACTGAGCAACTCAGCGCAGCACAGACCAAGAGAGCATTTTCAACCTGCCATCCACCTAACTTCAACCTGCTGCACCAGTTCAACGGGTTACATCCAGAGTCCCATTAAAAAGTCCATGGGGGCAGTTTCAGATCTGCAGATTTTCTGGAACACTCTTAGGAAAGGAAATAAAGGACAGCAGAGCCAAGAGTGAAGGACGAAGCTTTCCCACAGCCAGAAAGAGCACACAATGACATTCTCCACCATACTCAAGTTTCTCACCCAGTGGAAGTTGGCCGCGGGCTGAGATCACCCTGGGTGCAAAGCAGCAGATCCTGTGCCACCAAGGTAGGGTACAGCAAACACATTAAACCCACAGCGATTCCAAACAGCCTCAGCTTTGCCCTCTCATTTTCCTTTGCACTGCAGTCCTTGGCACAGAGAATGAGACAGATGCAAGCATCACCTTTCGTTCTGTCCCTCAGACACTTCTCCTTCGACAAAGCCTCCAATTAGCAGTCCTGTTCATTATCCAATATATCACTCATCCTAATTCTAGTGCAGCCAACCAGTTCCTCCCCAGATTAGAGGAAAGTTAATGATGCTTTCTGTTACTATCAGCTTTGCATAAGAAAGGGGGTGGATTTCTCATGTATTAGGAGGCAACATTCCCTTCCTGAAACGTCTTGGAGCAGAAGACTTCCC